GCAGGTTGATTTAAAGAGGGAGGGAATCAGGAAAAGTTAGTTTCAACATCTGTCAAATGGGGATAATAACATATAGCCTGTCTACCTTATAGCATTGTTGTTGTGAAGAAAGAATTCAAAGGGTTATAGAAATGTGAATTATTAATGATAATTTAATACTTTTGTTCTTAATAATTTGCTTCAACACACATTTGCTGATTGCCTATTACGCACAATACATCTAGGCTCTAAATGGCACACAACAATGAAGACATGGTTATAGGAAGCTAAAGGAGGCCATTCTAGGTGAGAGATGAGATATATACCTAAAACAAAGAGATAACATGATGTAAGATAGGGTCCACCTCGGAGAGGTACAGAGTGCTGTGAGACATTACGGAGAAGATGTATTTGAGTTGGAAGATTACAATAAGTGAAAATGATGGGGCAAGTGGAAGACAGAGATGATATTGCAGGATGGTGTAAATATAGATGTGTGTATGAGGAAGGGTAAGATGAGCTCAGGGAACGGTTTGACAGCAGCATAGAATACATGACAGAAAGTGTTCAAGAGAAGGCTGAAAGGGTAGGCAAGAAGACAAGGTAGGAAGCTACTATAGTTATCCAGGAAAGAGGTAGTGAGGGCCCCAACGAGGGTGATGACAATCACTTTGGGAGAGCAATTAGCAAAAGGAATGGAACAGAAGGGACAATGCAAGGGACACTGTGGAGGCAGGAGCAACAGGACTGGTTGGATACACCTAGAGAGAAATCATTATAAGAATCAGGAAGAGGGGAACATTTAACTATAAGAGATACTTAAGCTCTTTTAAAAGCCCTCACCTCCTGGGCTAGCCACATTCTCTGTTCAGCTCATAGTCATACAACCCTGGCTTCACCTTCATCACGGCCCTGGTCAGAATTTTTAGGTCTTTGAAAATCAATTGAATCTATGTCCAGCACAGAGGGAACTATCATCCTCTATTTCATGCAGATTGAATTTTGGATTTGTGATGTGATGACTGCCATATTGATAAGGATTATGGAAGGTGAGAGTTGTGCTTAGCGGGCAGCCTTCTACATCCTGTGGTTTATGGGCCATCGGCAATTTAGCTGCTTCCATCCATCACTACCCTGATCATATCCCAAGAGCTCATGAGAAAGACCTTTGGAATGTAATTTGGGTAGTTGGGATTCCAAATTGACATCCAATATGGTTGCCTAACCCATTAGCCAGCTAAGGATATGAAAATATCCTAATGATAATGACCCTCCCTTTTGAGTGGAAATGTAGAGAGTGTAAAGTATATTGGGTCTGGAATCAGAGACCTGGCATTGCCCATATGACCTTGAGCAAATTCACTTTCCTTCACTGAGCCTCAGTTTACTCATTTATAAAATGAGAGGTTTAGACTAAATCTCTAAAATCTCTTCAAAACCCGTAATCCTATGAACTTTCATTACCTCTCTTAGTCTAAATTTTCTAGTTTATAAAATTAAGATAAGACTAACACTACTGGCCTCACAGTGCTGTTGTGAGAATCAAGTAAAATATTATATACAGTAGCCACTTTGTAAATGGGAAAGTGCTCTATAAATGCCATTATCATTATTATATAACTCAGTAGACCAAGAGGTCACATTTCTCAAATCAGACATCTAATAGACTCATTTTCCAATAACATTCTAATTCCCTCTTTTGCTCAAAGGATCTATGATGAGGAAATCACAGCCATTAGTGTGAGGCAACTGGAAAGCATGTCCACAAGAAAAAACTTGATGAATGTTTAACCTGGAGAAGAATAGACCTACCTCTATTGTTGTATAAAGGAATATCTTTACAGGGGATCCAACTTTACCCTTCTTTTCACTCTTGTCTCCAACTTGTTCTAAATGATTGATCGCCAAGGGGAGTTGCTTTCCAGAATAATGCTTGCCAACTTGCTGGTATTCAATGACAATTATATAAGTGAATGAAAGAGCATTTATTAAGTGCTTACTCTGTGCAAAGCACTCTTCTAAGCACTGGGGAGGACAAAGGGAAATGGAAGACAGCTCTTGTCCTCAAGGAGCTCATATTTGATCTCGCTAACATTTCAATAGAGTTTTAAGGTTTTCAAAGTACTTTACGTAGTTTCCTTTTTAGTCTTCCATTTTACAGATGAGGAAACTGAAGCGGCTTGCCTAGGGTCACATGGCTGGGGTGTAGGTAAGATTGGAAATGAGATCTTCTCTCAGTCCTTGACTACAAGGACTCAAGCCACAATGACATCTCAACTCTGCCTGGCCCTTAACACCCCCTTAATTCCATAGAGCCAAATGATAAAAATATGACAGGAACATAATTTGAAAGCTCGAAGAGCTGGAGTAGATTTTGGGACTTACAGATTCCTTTCATTTTGCCAGTGATTCAAATGAGCCCCAGAGAAGAAAAAAAATGGCATAGCCAAGGTCATACATGTTCTTAGTGGCAGAGCTGGGATCAGAACTCACCCAGTGCCTACTTATATGACCTTGAACAAGTCATTTCTCCCAAATAAACTACAGTTTCCTCACCTATTAAATGAGGAGGTTAAACTATCAGGGATGGGTAACCTGTGTGGCGTTTTCGTCTGAGTCCAAGTTTTACAAAACAAATCCTTTTTAAAGTGGATTTGTTCTGTGAAGTTTGGATTCAGTCAAAGGGCAGCACTTACGGACCCAGAGGGCCACATAGGTCCCCACGCCTGAATTTACTAGGTGATCTCTAAGGGCATTTCCAACTTCAACAATCTATAACTATCTGTAGATACCTCTTCTTTGATTTAGAAATGCTTTGTAATCATATGGAAATCACACTAGCTAAAGTACCAACTGTGACTATGTAATTTAACATAAATTAATGTAGGTTCGATGTAATTTAACAAATACCAGAATTAATATATCCAAATAAGTGTTTCAAAGCATTTCCTTTGAAAGGATACAAATTGACATCCTGTTGCTTGATTTTTCAATGTGGGGGTGGGGTGGAGGTAGAGAGAGGAAGGGAGTGGCTGGAGGGAGGGAGAGAATTTAGAACTCAAAACTTTAAAAAATTCGTGGTGCAGTGAATAGAGCTCTGGCCTTGGAGTCAGGAGGGCCTGAGTTCAAATGTGGTCTCAGACACTTGACACTTACTGACCCTGGACAAGTCATATAATCCTGATTGCCTCACCAAAAAAGCATATACGTGTATACATATATACATACATACATACATACACACGTGTGTGTGTATATATGTACGTATATGTATATATATTTATATACACACGCACATATACACATATGCATAGATATGTATAATATATATATATACATTTAAAGAAAAAATATGCAGTCACTGTAAAGATACTGCCAGTTTTAAAAACAAAATAAAACAAGAAAAATATACCCTCAACAACAAAGTTAGAATCTCTAGAATTGTGTGGGGAAAGTATTGAATTTGAATTCAAAGGACCTGGTTTCCAATGTTAGCTTTGCTATTTACTACCTGTGTGATTTTGGACAAGTCACTAAAGCGTCTACAGAACTATACCTAGTAATTTTTCCACCTAGGACATTGGGGTGCAGCTACTGGCACACCGTAGAAGAGCTTTCTATTTTAACTAATAGTTTTTGCTTTTTTTCTTCTTTTTTTGGTGAGGCAATCAGGGTTAAATGACTTGCCCAGGGTCACACAGCTAGTTAAGTATCATATGTCTGAAGCCACATTTGAACTCAGGTCCTTCTGACTCCAGGGCTGGAGCTCTATCCACTCTGCCACCTAGCTGTCCCGTAATTGTTCTTGCTAACTAGTTACTAAGCTGTTATTTTTTTACACTGCTGAAGGACTGTGAGTACTATCAGTGCTGTATACATTTTGGCTTCCTGAGAAAGGCCTTCGTCACTCTTCCCTAATTACAGTTCTGTCCCACTGGACCTCAGTTTCCAATTTAGGAAGTTGAATGAAATATCTAAAAGCCCCTTCAGCTCTAAATCTTGTGGCCTATAAATTTCCTTCAGAGACAGTGACACGTTGTTTTGACTCTCCTCAACAGCGGCAAATTATTGCCCTTTACAAGTAGATTTTATTTTTGAAAACAGCCCAAAGTCATTTGAAATTGTCTGGTAACCAGGGAGGGAGATCGAGCTGAGTTGTGCATCTTCCATTAAAAACAAGGTATGAGGATAAAATAATAAGGCAGTTTTCCTTGGCTTGAAGAGCTACAGAATGATGACAGCTGACGTTTAAATAGTGTTTTAATCTCAGTTTAGCCTCGTGACCGGCCACTCTACGAAGTAGGTAGGACAAGATTCATCACCACCACTTTGTAGATGAGGAGAGAATATCAGAGAAATGAAAGGATTCACCCTTGGCCACCTAATCACGAGTTCCAAAGGTGACATTGGAACCCGGGCTTTTCTAAGTCTAATGCTGTTTCCACTACACTTACAGACTTTCCGAGTGAGTGCTTTGAAGGGGACAGAGCTATCTGTGTATTTTTCTTAAACTATTAGCCACTTTGCTTTATAGTCAGTCACAACATCCTCCAAACTGGCCAGCAGAGTCTAGGGGACTTAGATGTCATAGAATGTCAGGGCTAAAAGGAACCTCAGAAATCACCTAGTCCAACCCCTCCCATTTTACAGCTCAGAAAACTGAGACCTAGACAGGGAAAGCAGATCACCCAAGGTCACACTACACAGCTAGAGCAGGGCGGGGACCAGCCTCTTGGTGTCCTGACTACCCAGTCTAATACACTTTGTATTTGATTGAATGAGGGAAATTATTTCGTGTGTATACTCTCTTCTTCTTCTGAGAAAACTACCGTGCATTCTCTCTCTCTGTCTCAAAAAGCTAATGTTAGAGGGTTAGAGGGTTAAATAATTTTGGTGCACAGGGTGCTTAGAGATCTCTAGATAAATGATGGCCCTACGAATACCAAGTCTCATTGTTACCATGCTAACTGCCTGCAACTGGTTTTCATCATTGGAGCTGAGCTCCCCAACTGTCTTTTTCCAGCTGCAGTTTCCCTCCTTAATGGAAGAACCTGTCCAGGGCTCTGGAGCAAAGGATATGATCTCCAAATCCTGTTCCAAGTTGGTGAGTGACAAGCAGTTAATTTCCAAAGCTGTGCAGCGGATATTTTTTCTTCCTCTAACCCCCTGGGAGAGAAAATGATGTAAATGAAATACCCCAAGGGGGTGTAGCTTGTTGTAACTTATGATTAAGCTTGAAAAGCACATAAGTTAAGCATTCCAATCCTGGAGCTAACCTCTCTCATATCAGGAACAGAATATTGCTTGCTCCCTGACTCTTTCTTGGAGTTTCTCCCCATCCTTGCACAATTCAATCACCTTGCTCTTTAGACTAATAGCTATTCTCTTTCTCAGGACCTGAATAAGAATGCCGACATGTTCTGAGGGTCCATTGGTCATGGATGTGGGAGATCCACATAACTAATAAGAATAATGATGACCATAATAATAAAATGATGGAAATGGAAAAGACAACCACAAAAAATCAGAAGTGGATTTTGCAAAGTAACAAAGAATAGAATGTGGCTCTAAAGAAGAGATATGAAAAGACACTCTGACTACATCCATTTGCAGAGGTGAGAGGTCCACAAGGGTGGTATATGGAACACATTTTCAGACTTTTCAGGTGTGTTGACCAGTTATGCTGATTTTCCCTCCTTTTTTTTTCTTTCTTTATCTCTAAAAAATACTACTTGCTATATGGATGGATATCTGGGAGGGACAAGAGGAGGGATACCAAGGGATATTTTAAAAATACATCAATAAAATTTAAAAAAAAATAAAGATGGAAAAATAATAATAGTTAGCATGTACATAACACTTTAAGGATTGCAAAGCACTTTACAAATATTATTTCATTTGATTATCACAATAACCCTGGGAGGTAGATGCCATTTTTAATACCCATTTTACAATTGAAGGAACTGAGGCAAACAGAGGTTAAGGGGTTTGGCTAGGGTCTACTAGGTGTATGAGGCTGGATCTGAGCTCAGATTCTAATAATAACTAATAACAACTTTCTTGTGCTTGTATAACTCTTAGTGTCATGGGATCCCAGATTTAGATATGAAAGGGATCTTAGAGGTCACAATGAAAAGAGTGCTGCATTTGGAGTCTGGGAACCTAGGTTTAAATCCTAGTTCAGTTAGTATGTGAGTCTGACCAAGCTATTTAATATCTCTGAGTCTCAGTTTCCTCATCTGTAAAAATATATTTCTTAAAAGGCATTTGATTAAATGATTTCTGAGTTTGCTCCCTGCCTGAGATTAAGGCAGACTGGTGGAGTGTAGCAAACATTGAATCTGAGTCAGAGGACCTGGGTCCATAAACCTGCTCGTCTGACCTTGCACAAGTCAGTTGATCAATCTGGGTCTCAGTCTCATCCTTTGCACCATGAAAGGACTGGAAGAGGTAACCTCTTAAGGTTCCTTACAACTCTAAATCTACAATCTCAAGTGCACTTTTACCTCACAGCTGGGAAAGGCGGAGCTCAATTTACCCAAAGTTGTTCAAGGAGCAAGTTGCAGAATCAGGATTTGAACACAGGTCCTCTGACTCCAAATCTGGCCTTCTTTTGCTCTGAACCACGTTGCCTATCCCTCTACAGCTTTTCAAAGCACTTTCACATGCTTTCTCTTTTTTGACCTTGTCGACAGCTCTGTGTCTTCCATGACCATTGAACAGAGGCAACCTGGTAGAGTGGTCAGCTTACTGGACTTGGAGTCAGGAAGTCCTGAGTTATCTCCTGCCTCTAATACTGAGTGACCTTAACAAGTGACCTCCACCTTATTATGCCTAGTAACAGCTAGGTGGTACAGTGGATGGAGTGACAGACTTTGAGTCGGGACAGACCTGAGTTCAAATTTTCCCTCAGACATTTATTAGCACATAACTGCTCTCAGCCTTAGTTTCCTCAACTGTAAAATAGGAAGAATAATAATAGAACCTGCTTCACGGGGTTGTTGGGGGGACCAAATGATGTAACGTAAAATATTTCACAAACAGTAAAATGCTACACACACACACACACACACACACACACACATACACACACACATGCATATACATATAGCATATATCTATATATGTATACTGTGTTTTATTATTATTATTATTACTCACTTTGTACTCATTTAAACTTAAATTTTCGTATAGACCCTTTATCATTGCTGATGCTAATCCTGATTAACTCCTATTTTGGGGATATTGGCACTGAAATACTCCAGGGGATTGGTGAAACACAGTTCAGAATTGGCCCTGTTTTTACCCTGGGGACAATATTGGCAGCAGAATAAACAACCTGGGCTGATATGAGGGTGTTTTGAATGGGGGGGGGGCGGGAACTCATAGATTGAGACACATTTGCATTAATTGGCTGCTGTTTCCAGCTCTGGGTTTCTAGCTCATTTTTAATTAACTGCTTCCGGATTTAATCTCACAAATGCTCTATGCTCCTTCTTGTTTAATCCAGAATTCTAATGGCCAGTTTATTTATGCAGATCAATACTGTTTACAAACATGAAAGCTGCCTGTCACTGTTTGAACTTTAGACAAGACGCCATTGGTTATCAATAAGGAAAGCAGTCTCAGCAGGTGGAATGTCAATGCTCAGCCAGGCAATATTCAGAAGACAGGCAAGATTAAAAATTTCTGCAGTGGTCAGGGAGGTGGCTGAATCAGATTGAGGGTCTTGACTCTTCCCCCTTTCCTCCTCCTCTTCATCTTCTTTCTCCCCCTTCTCTTTCTCTTGTTACTTTACCTCATCCTCTTCTTTCTCCTCCACCTCATCTCTCTCCTTTGCTTGTCCTCCTTTCTTCTGTTCTTTACTTCCCCCTTCTGTTTCTTTCTCTTTTCCCCATTTCTTCCCGTCCTTCCTTCCTTTCATTCCTCCCTCCTTCTTCCTCCTGTCTCAAGCCCCCTCCTCCGCCACCTCGCTCTTCATTCTTTTCCCTTTTCTTTCTCCCCCACCCAAGTCCCCAAGCTCTCTGCCAGCTGACTGAACACCAAAGAAATTAATCAGATTTTTCAAAAACAAGGGGGAGGGGGATAGGAAGAAGGGGAGAAAAACAGCTAGTTTTGGAAGGGGGTTTTCTTTTCTAACCAACTCATTGGTCCAATTGGTTCTCTGTCAGTTTCTCCCTACAGAGACTTGAAAACGATCAAGGGAAAAGATCTGGTTGTTTCTGGCTCATCTGTTTTCTTTTCCCTCTACTTCCTAAAGGAAATATGTTTGTGACCATTTAATTTAAGGTTGGGCCTCCCCTTCCTCCTTCAGTTTCCTAACTAGATAGACTGAATTGCTCCAAGCTATAATTGAAATACTGTTTGTTTCAACCAGTTTTGGGAACTGATCACTTTGGAAGTGCTAGATGTCTCTAGTATTATTTTTTGTCAGCTATGACTAATGTAGTCTCAGTGCCTCACACTTATACTTTGCTTTATTTTCTCCATTTTTTCCTTTAAAATTTTTTATTGATTTTTTTAACATAAACTTAATTTCCAGATATATCCCTTCTCCCACCTCTCCAAGAATCTGACAGCATACTCCATGTCCTACACCCATAATCTCTCAACTCCACAAAGAAGAGAGAGATTTTCTCATCTGTCCTTCAGGACCAAGTTTGTTCATTATAATCATACAGTGTACAAAACTGCAGGGGTGGAGGGAAGGAGAGATTGGTTGTTTTTATTCTGTTTATCTTGTTATGGTCATTAGACATATAGCTTTTCTGGTTCTGCTTACTTCATTTTGAATCAGTTCATATAAATCTTCCTATGCTTTTCTGAATTCTTCATATTTATCTTTTCTTAGAGTGATAATTTCATTACATTCGTGTAACACAATTTATTTAGCCATTCCTAATTTAAGCATAGACTTTCTTTCTAGTTCTTTGCAAAGTTCTAGTTATAGCACAGGCTAGATCACCATTTGCCATATTGCTGTCAAGAGTTTTCATTTTTCATTTTCATTTTCACTATAACAAGTTCTGCTATGAATATTTTGGTGTATTCGAGACGTTTCTTTTCTGTTTCCTTGGGTTACATACCTAACAGTGGGATCTCTAGGTCAAAAGGTATCTGTATTTTTGTCCATTTCTTGCTTTCAATAACAAAGGTCACCAAGGCAGGTACAGTGTAGAAGAAGGCTCTGAGGTCAGGAACACTTGAATTTCAAACTTCATTCTCAGATATCTCTTCCTTATCCTCACTCCCTGTAACTAAGGTGAAGCCCACAACATTGCATTCTGTGCTGCTAAGAAATTACTGGAGACTGTGTCTCAGCCCTACCTTTGGATTCCATGTATGGAAACATGACTTCCTCTGGCACAAATGAGAGGTGCAAGATGGAGTGGGTTGATTTTGCTGAGTTAATGCATTTAATAACTTCCTGAGTGGTTTGGGGTTAGCCACAAAATAGTTCAAAAAAAAAATCAAGTAGTCTGCCATTAGGCCATCCTGCATAGAATATTGCAGTCCTCTCATTTACTTTTCTAAAGGTTTCACAGACTTTGGCTCCTCTAAGGTAAGTACTTGGTTGCCCTTGACCTACTTGGTGTTCTTGAATCAGGTTTCCCAGCTAGTGGTTAAGGTTGGTTTTTGTCATTTAAGGTGAAGTACTATACCTATTGTCCTAGACTGGCACCTAAATTCCAAACTCTTTAGAAATCATGAGGCATATATCAATATGACTACCGTTCCTGAAACTGGCAGCCTCATACTTGCAGCAGAGCAAACAGCTCTTGGACTGGATCTTCTTATCAAGTGCCTGTTTCCAGGTGGCTCCTGCCTCCCGTTTCTTTGGTGAAACTGTGATAGCAAATCTGTTTGGAGCCCAGTGAATATATCCTATTTATCTGTTCTTTCTTCTTTCTTCTTCTCCTCCTCTTCCACCACCACCACCAACACCACCTTCTTCTTCTTCTTCTTCTTCTTCTTCTTCTTCTTCTTCTTCTTCTTCTTCTTCTTCTTCTTCTCCTCCTCCTCCTCTCCTCCTCCTCCTCCTCCTCCTCCTCCTCCTCCTCCTCCTTCTTCTTCTTTTATCAGGATTAAGTGACTTGCCCAGGGTCACACAGCTAGTAAGTGTCTACAGCCACATTTGAACTCAGGTCATCCTAACTCCAGGGCTGGTACTCTATCCACTGTATTACCTAGCTGCCCCATATTTTTCTATGGTTCATTTCTCTGTTCTCCATTTCTTTTTGTTTTAGGATTCCTGCACTGGAGCCAGTCGTAATGAGAAGAGATTGTTAAATGAACATTTACACCAAGAAATTGAAATTACAAATGCTATAAGATTGGGGCTCAATTGTTTTGTTGATTGTCTAGACTTAAGAAAGTGATGGTGAAAATTTTAATAATGCAGATTACATTTAAAAATACACCCTACTGTTTTCTGAAGAGCCAGTTGTTAAACACTTACCAGCAGACCTCAGCCCCACCCCATCCAATAGTTTATTACCAGTAGTGTATTAGAGTTTAAAACTAAGTATAAGTTTATAATAGAAAATACCTTATACTTACTATAATCATAACAGACAATTCCCTCCACCAATAAATGGAGTGTTATCTTACCATGCTGAGGCATGGTAGATTGACTTAGAAGATGATGGCTCAAGTTCCTTCCAACTCTATGATTCTAAATATGATTAAGGAAGATGCCAAGGATAGTGGTTAGTTATTTTTCATTTCTGACAAAGACTGAAGAAGAGAAAATGGGCATAAATTGTAGGGGGTTTCTACCAGAAAGCAAATGTGAACCCCTTTTCTTTCTCTCTGCAAAATATCCTAACAAAAAAAAAATGAAATAGATTGTGGCTTGCCCTCAGATGTAGTGGGTTCCCCTTCACTGGAAGCCTTCAAGTAATGTCTAGATGACCATTTGTCACATGTACTGTCAAGGGTTTTCATTGTCACGTATGGGATGACCTAGAAGTCCCTTCCAACACCGAAGCATAGTGATTCACATGGGTGTGTGTCTATGCATACATACACACGCATATAGGGACTGCATCTGTAATTTCATTGATTTGGGAAACATCTAGATGAGGGAATTTCTGGGTGGGGGACCATCCTCTACCATTACAAATCAGCACCTTATTTATAATTTATTTTTTTAGAGAGTCGTTCAGGCTACTGAAAGGTTAAATGACTTACTTGCCCAGGGCTACACAGCCAGTCTGCATTAGAGAAGAGGTTTTTAGATATATTCACAGATTTGATATGAATGTAGGCAAAAAATTACAATCTTAGATGATCATCTAGCCACTTAGATGTCCAAGGTCTCTTCTAGCTGTAACATTCTATGAACATGATAGACTCAACTTCTTCTGAGATAATTTAGAGAACTTTCACTTCCTTTTGATTCCTGCAATGAAGTTAACTCACATCCAGATTGCCATATACCATTTAACTTCCCATGAAGTCTGATGATTTTAAACATGTGCACAAAATCTCTCTCCCCTGAAGACTTTCTAGCATGACCTAAAGTTTACCAGAATGTTTGTTGGTTGCAGACAACTTCTTCCTGAGTTGTTCCTAGGTGCTAGACACCTTAAGAGAAGTCTGAAGGGATTTTCCAAATCCCCTTGGATCTGTTGTTCAGTCCTTTCAGTCATGTCCAACTCTTCATGGCACCATTTTGAGGTTTTCTTAGCAAAGATACTGGAGTGGTTTGCCATTTCCTTCTCTAGCTCATTTTACAGATGAGAAAAGTGAGGCAAACAGGGATAAATGACTTGCCTGGGGTCACATAGCTAATATGTCTGAGGCCAGATTTGAACTCATGAAGATGAGTCTTTTAGACCCAGTACTCTATCCAGTGCACTACCTAGATGCCCTCTTGGGCTTAAGAGGAATCAAAAATGCATTCTCCAGAGGAGGTACAGCCTCTGGATTGCCTCAGACCAGGGACCAGTGAATCAGAATTTAAATGTAACGTGAAAAGAACTTGGATCAGTAAAACAAAGTCCTCATACTTACGAATCCCCTAATGTGGCATCTACAATGCTGCCGATCCTTTCCTCATGCCAGGCAATTTTTGGCCTTTGGATTTTGAAAGAATTGAGAGTGTGAAGTCCAAGTAATTTAGTTTCTTCCTTTAGCAGCCAAATCCAGCCTGGCAAGCATTCTACATATTTTACTAATGATATTCTAAATATCTTTTTAGATTACATGAAAACAAACCCAGGCCCTTAATAAGTTATTCAGATGTGTGTTTCTCAATGTACATTTATAAATTGTTGCCACGTACAGCACTAATTTTGCAAAACTTCAGAAGCTGGAACAAAGGGTCTTTGAGTCACTCTTTCTCATTTCCCTCTCACCTCCCTGCCTTGATTTCCCTCCACTCTTACTCCTACCCAGCCTATCAGATATCTGGGCTTCCTACCTTCTAGTGAATTTTGTTTGCCCTGTTTCCTTCTGGCACCTCTAACTTCCTCAGATATCTTCCATCGATCAGAAATGAGGGCCCAAGTACCACAATTCCAAGAGTCTATATGATTCTAGGTAATCGTGAGATGTCTGGAGGATATGGAAAGAGCTCTAGTAACTTGTAAGAAGGTAAGAAAATATCCCAAAAAGGTGGAAGGGTTTGTATATGAAAGACCCATGATTTCATTGGTTGGGAATTCCTGATGTGGGGGCTCCTTCAAACAAAGCAGATAAACAATACTGAAACAAAGCAGATAACACTGAAACATTTGTAACTTCAAAGGATGAATAAAAATGAGGATGGTGGACTATAAGTACAAAATGAGTCATGCATTGTATGACCTTTATATAATCTGCGATATCACAAAGTTTTCTGAGCCTCTGAGAGATTAAATGATTTGTCCATAGTCTTGGTTATAATAAGTATCAAATGTAGACAGGACTCTGAGCCCAGAACTCTATCCACCACACAACCCTCTGCTTTTCTAGAGTTATTTATGCATTGACAATAGTGATATGGTTAGCCACCAGGTGATGTTGCTAGCCAGTCACTTAAACCTATTGTCAGGGGAAGATCTTGAGCGCGGGGTGTCCCAAACCCACTCTGGCAATTATGACATTTCTGCCTGCTCAGCAGAAGTATTGGGGAAGTTGAACTCTCTGTGGCTTTCAGATATTGGACACCATTTTATAACCCAGCTCCATCTCTCTCTGGGTGGCTCTACTGACTGGCGGTTAGTATAGTATGGTTAGTAAAGATTTCCCCAATCAGAGTCAGCTCCAAACCCCATCCTACCATCAGCCCCACCTCGTCCCTAAAGTTTCTATCTTTCACTAGGCTTTAGTCAAAGCGGTACTGATTCTCCATGGGAACAACAGAGCGTGTTCTACTATATACAGTGCTTTACTCTTCTTGTGGGACTGGATGGGACTACATCTATTACTTCTTTGCAATGGAGAACTTCCAATGGGGAAACTCTTCCAATACAGACCTTCTCTGTCACATAGTGACCACTGAGAAGTTAAATTACTTTTCCAAGGTTATTCTGGCAGTATTTGTCAGAGGAGAGACTTGAACTCGGCTCTTCTTACACCACACCTAATTTTCTATCTACTCACTATTCAATGCTGCTTCTTTCACTCCACCATTCTTGTAACACAGCGTCTAGTAACACAGCTCTCTCCTTGACCCAGGCAGTTTAAAGATAGTATGACAGCCTCGCTAACCCCAGGAATTCTAGGAAATGCATAGTTTAGGCTGTCGAGTCTCCTGACCACACCTCTTCTGAGCAGGAAAAAGAGAGTAGACAACACAATAATCTCCAACTGATGTCCATTTCCCACATCCAGTGCACTTGGTCATTAGTTGAAGACTCAAGACCCTCTGGGCCCTGATTTGACTTACAACTTTATCTGATGGTATGGCATATGGACCTCAAATCTGGTACAATCTGGAGTTCTTACTGCTGGAGTTTCTCCATCATTGTCCCACTACGGGTAGGGAATTCTTGATGCTTCTTGGAATGGTTAACTCATAATTTGTGGACAGGAGTTTTAGATACAGGCGTAGGTCACAGCCAGCAGAAACCTGCTGCTGCTATTCTTCCCTGACATCCATCTCTGACTTGTAGACCTATTTCCAGGGACCAAAAAGTAGGACACCTCCTTTCTATTCCTCTAAATCTTAAGTAATCTGATCCACAGAACTTCTCTGCTGCATTTGTCTTATTTGTTTGCTGTTTTTTTCTGTCCCCTAACTAGTCACACAAAGCTCCAGCTCCCCTTATTTGGGAGTAAAAAGAAGGATAGACCTAAATATCCAGAAGAACACTAATAGATGTTGAATTTATACTTTCAGTTTTGTCTCTCTGATTTGGGAGGCTGTCAGATTCCTTGAGACCAAAGCCTTGACTTACTGGTTGGATAGAAACCTTTGGCCATTGCTAACTTGAGATTTGGTCGCAACAGAAGCATACCTGAGACCTTCTTTAGCAACTTGTCCAAGACTCAGTTGCTAAAAGCCCTGGAAACTGAACTGCAGAATTCTACAATCCCAATTCTGCAAACAGGTTGTATGCTGGATACTTAAACTAGGACAACTAGCTGGTTGAAGACCCACCATAAAATCCCCTTCCCTTCAGTAGCTGCTTCATGTAATTTTTTTCAGGAAAATCCTTGTAGAGCCAACAAGTGGGATTGTCTCAGACTGTCCCATTTCCCTGCTGCTAATAATTACTGTGTTTGGGTGGGACATTACCATCTCCTTCACACAAACTGAAGGGAATGTTTAACTTTGGAAAAGAACATTCTTCACAAAGTGACAGATTAAGATGCAAATCTGGGAAAAAAATCCCTTCTACCAATTTTTTTCCTTGCTAATTGGCAGAAAATTAATGAACAGGGAACTGATTGAGCAGATGCTCCCATGGAAAAAGGCAGATTTGGAGGTTCTCTTGCCCTATTTTTTTTGAGCACATCAAGAAGGCAGTAACATGTGGCAGGTCAGAAATTAAGGGAAGGTAACAGTACAGATTGTAAAGAACACAAAGGAGTTTTTGGTGGGCTTTTTTTTTCTCTTTTGTTTTAACTTCCTTGCATCATTTTTTTTAAGCTCATATTCCACTACAGCTCATAATTAGCAGCTAGGCCTCTGGGACCTAATTAACCAATTCAATTAACAAAAAAAGCATACAAGTCACCCTGACATTTGTCAGCCATTAGGAGGGATGTCAGACTGGCAGTTTCTGCCGGCACATTAATGGTGATTAGATCATTTGCTGTTCACTTTTACCCTGGGTATACACCTGGAGAGGCAGCTCCTGAGCCATTCTGCTGAGAATTTCAGGGGGAAAGGGGGTACTGTCTATACCTTGTAGAGGTGCTCTGGCCTTTTATAAAACGCACAATCAATAAGATTATATT